AAGTCATTGAAGGAGGCCTGACTAGGCTTCTGACACAGTTCTTAAGGAGGGAGGATTGTGGGACATCCTTGTGTCTTGTATGAAGCTGTAAAGAGCATGTGCTTTTACTCAATTAAACAAGCGACAATTGTTTCCTCTCTTCTCCTATCGGTGACTCTCCGCGACCTCGTGTTTCCTGTTTAAATATTCACTCTGATCTTTGTTGGCGAATCAACTATTGTTATTCAACAAGGGGACTGAACCAGAGTTGCACTAGTTGGGGGCAATTTTGGTTTGTAATCTCTTGAGTTGGAGTTTGCTATTTTCACTCTCTTTAATTAAATAACTTGCAGATAAGGGACGTCAGCTTTATTGACTTCTTATTAATAATTGACCTAAAGTGAACTGCAGGAAAACGAATATGCTCCACAAAGGTCAGTAATGGATTCTCAAATAGTTCAGTAATTCATCATCTCCATTAAACGGCATATCCTGATAATGGAAGTGAGACATCCATTTGCGATTGCCTGTCAGAAGTGTTTAATGTCAATTGTCAGTGAATTTAATTGCAAAGTAATGAATTTTCCTGCATTGATGTTAACCATAATTATTCACCACACGGGGCGGTGGTACCGGGTCGCCTCGTTGCTGTGGTGCTGCTGTCTGTGATGACAGATGTTATGCTGTTTATGGTATGTGTGTTGTTGTTGTATTAAATGCATCATTAAGTCTCATTTAAGTATATAACTTCCTTTCTCTGGTTTGGATTTCCCGCGTTTTATTCCATCTAGCTACTTATATTACTTCTTGAAGAAGCGAGCTGTGGTCTCACCATTGTTAGGATGATATTACGGTTTGTAGATGACCGGTCGTTGTCAAGTTTACATCTGGCAACTTCCTTGTAATGTATATTGCCATCGCTGAGACCATTCCCCTTTGTGTTTTTGAGTGTATAAAGTGCTTGTTTTTCTGTTGTACGTGGTCAGATCTTGGTACTATCTACTATGCAGGACTGCAGATTGATTCATGTTAATTCATACTCTTTAAATTAAATAACCAATTTTGGTTTGAAAGCTTGTAGATTTGTTATTTTCTCAGAAGGTGATTTAAGTGTGGAATTCCAATGCTCTAGGCGTGGGCACCTCGTGATTGACATGGTTGCTACACAGCGTTATCTGGCTTTACCCCTTTCAGATTGTTTTTTTCGTTTGAAAGGTTAAGACATTCAGTCAACATTAACATTTTGTTCACCAAGAAATGTATAATTCAGTGATTGGTTGTACCAAGTTAAATCAAGATGGTGATGGCCAGAGGCTCACTTTATTTATTACCTCAGTGACACACTTCCTAATGACTTTGTGTTCTCAATCTGTAGAGTCAAGTCTTCTGGAATCCAGCATGGTGTTCATTGGATACATTATGGTCCCATTTAGAATAAATCAGGTACGCTTTAGGGTTGGCTACCTTGTGGTTGACAGGTTGCTACCATGACGTCTTGTGTTTTCAGTTTTAAGACATTTGGTGAACATTAAAATTTCAGTCAATAAGAAATGTCTTGCTTACCGCTTGGTCTCTAACATTTTTATACTCGTGATCAGAAAGTATTTATATGAGAAGGTGGATTTTAGGAATGAAATGAATTGAATATCTTTCTTGATTGATCACTTGTATTAGATATGGTAGTATCACTGCTCTCCTGTTTGATGTCATTCAAATGAACTCAACTGTATATGTTATTACACGGCTCTTGTGATTGCCTCCCATTTGTAGTCGATACATCAAAGGTTAGTACACAACCGTGTTGTCGTTTGTGTTGTTAGCCCTGAAGAATTCCTAAAGTGCTTGAAATGTTGCAGTTTAAAAGAAACTAATGTTCTTCCTCCTGGTACTTGCTTTACATATTGGAGTGTCAGCTGTTAATGTAGAAGCGGAGCGGATTGGCTTTGGTCCAATCAAACACTGGCATTGTTCAATTCTAGCAATAATTCCAACCTTAATTACCATTGAATTAATCTGCTTATAATGGTGACTGTCAAGGACACGATTGATCTAATTATACAAGATCACTTAGTAACCATGGTAAAACATATCCACGGCAGTAAGTGGGAGAATTTATTTGAGACTTTCACCGAACAATCAGAAAAGTGAAGTTTTTTTAAAAGGTGCTTTTTGTGTGTATTTGTCGGCTTCTCTGTATATATATTGCAGTACATAACCTGTCCATCATTATTTAGGACATACGGTCCACTTCCACTCTGAAGTAATAATGCTCATGATCACCAGGGAACATAAATAAAAACATAAAGTGCGGGGAGGCGCTGCATGACTTGTCCTTCTCCACAGGAACCCGTAGTGCTGATGATGCAGGATGACAGGCACCGACACTTTCCAATAAATTGAGTCACCTCTTTATTATGCAAGACGTCAGTAAACATGAAACAGAGCAGAACTAACAGCAATTCATATGTTTTCACTTTGCTTCAATCCTGGATGTTTTGGTGCTTTAGCAGAAATTAACATTGAAGACATTACCATGTAATATATTTTATGTAGCTGAAAATAGTAACTAATGATGGTAATGTGTATGATGCTGTATCTTCAGATTAAAACTGAGTTATGACTCATGTGCACCATGCTATTTCCTCCATGTGTCACCCTGTAGTGCTGGAATTAAACTAGGTATATTTAATTAAATGAATTTTATGCAACTTTTGATTTTTTACTACATTTTGGAGGTATATATTTTGCGTTTTTCAATCTATTAACTTCTCTTGCTTTTTATGTCTTTCCAAAGCACTCTGAAACTATAATATACAACAATGTTGTCATTTGTATTACATTAATTTGGCTAGTTTGGTTACTATTCAAAGATTTAGATTCTCTATACAAAATGTAAAACAATCAAATGATGATGCATTGCTATCCGGCAGTAAAAATAAAGACACAATTATCCCACCTGCCCATTAAAGGGATGTGCAAATTAATGCATCACTAATTATAATCCAATGATTCATTACACCGTTACAATATTGCTCCATTCTGCATAATGACTACTTTAGTTTGGCAGTAAAAAGGAGAAATATCTTTAAAGAAACTGCCCCTTTGAACTATCGCTACAGTTTTTCTTGCCCGCCAATCAGGGCACACCAGGCTTTTCCAGAGGTCTTAAAGGAACAGTCGCCAAAACAAAGCATTTCAGACGGAGGGTGAAGCTGATATTTTCAGACGGACACTACGAGGAAAAGAGTATTTTCCTGAATATGGAACCCTGTACACATGTTCTTGTAGGAACCCAAAATAAAAGTGTAAAGCCCAAACACGAGCAACTATGTCCCCTTTAAGTATATTTTCCTTTCTGCACTGTTCTTACTTTTTAACTTTTTTTTGTAATACTATGATGGTTTAAGACACACACTGTATCTTCAGCAGCATGTCTCCTTTAAATAGAAGGAAAAGCAGTTCATTTATAAGACTATCGTTTTAAAAGAGAAAAAGTCCTGCCTCTTGTCACCTAGCTTCTATTTCAATAACTACTGCTACTGTTCTACACGTTAAAGTTTGATTATCTCAATATTTCAACATATCCCATTAGTCTTCGTCATTGTCAAGGCCTCGTGGGAGCACTTTTTCTGAATTGTCACACTCTGAAATGAGAGATGTTTGGAAAATAAGACTCTATAGTAAATTAACAGCCTAACAATGTGTCTGACTGATAAATAAAAATACATTACTGTCAACTTTGGCTAGAGTCACAGCAATCTTTGCACACAAATAGTATCATGAAGACTTTTCTGTCGGATGGGGGCCACAGGGGGACAATATGTCTGTGTGTGTTTGTGTGTAAGTCCAGGGTTTCTGACAGAACACTTTCGCATCAAATCACAGAAAAGAGGAATGAAAATGGGAAACTTCAAGGGTTTTAATTAGAAACTACCACCCGTCTGTTGTGATTTGCAAGGGGGAAATTGTTTGTTCCGATTGAAATGGTGCAATAATGGGAGGAACAGTTGATGGCACAAACATTGATGAAAGATGAAGAGTGACTGACATCCCATTAATGTTGTGTTTGAATGGAAATATGGAACAATTAAGTACAATTTCAACCGGTATAAAAACATACTTTTCACAGGTCCAGTTTTCATTTTATCCCTTTTTATTTTACACAACATAACAACACAGTACATGTTGTCTTTTTCTGTACAGAAGCTTTCCGGGAGTCTGTGACCAACACAGGCTGTATATACCAATGTCAGTGGAACACTCACAGGGTTTTCATGTTACCTTTTTTTTTTAAATTCTTCCCTTTAAAAAATATCAATTTCACAAGAGGTAAATTCTTCATCTGTTCGTCACAGTTTGTGTCTGTGTATATCTCGAGAAAGGTCTGTACTCCTCGGTAGGTAAGAAAGGCTATGTGTGAAATCTCCTCCTTTTCCGTCCCCTCGGTTCTAATCCCCTCGGTCAGGATCCTCTTGAATCCGGTTGTGTCATCTGTCTGTTGCAAAAGAAGGCACCGACTGCTATTCTCTTGCCACGGTATGGACACACTTCTTGTGTGTGTGTGAACGTGAGAATGGTGTGCTTTGCAGTTCTTGTATAGTTTTTTATTCCTCTTTTTTTTCCTGTAGTAAATCCCTTTTCGTGGTGTTTTCAGATAAGGTGAATGTGAATCGGGAAAATGACGTGGCGAGCGCATTGTCTTGTTTTTGTTTTGTGCTATAAAGTGGAACCGACGAGATTCGAAGACGCTACGAGACAAGGCGACCGGAAAACAGACAGGAATCTTTCAAAGTGAATAAAAAACCTGTAAACTGAGATTTGTGAGTATGAAAATAATACAAATAAAAAAAAAACAGTTCAAAACCTCACCCAGAAACACACAACAAAAGGTTCCAACATGAACACAAACACACTGTACAGACCTAAAACACACATCCTAAACAGCAACACACACACACACACACACACACACACACACACACACACACACACACACACACACACACACACACACACACACACAACAACAAACACCTCTCAACAAATTCAAACCCACTCAACGACCCAAACCTCAGACATACAAAAAATGGAAAAACAAAGTTTATTTCAATGGTTGCTGTCTCTCTCCAGTTCAAACGGTGCTCTCTAGGATCCAGTCCGAGTCGCACCGCCCTTTGTCCGATTCTCCGTCCCCGTCTTTGGGGAGTAGAATCCCGCTCATTGATTGGCTCCTTTTGTTCCGCATTATCCGCCCTATTTTGGGTGGTCCTGCTGCTCCCTGATGGGCGGGGTGAGTCTTTGAGCCTCCGTCACAGAGCGAGTTCCTCCTCCTCGCTCTGCTCCTCCCCAGCTCCTCCGCAGGGAGAGTCAGGTACTTGCTGGAGGCGGAGGCGCCACGGGGGGCCCGGCGCAGGATGGGGGTCTCACTGAACCGGATGGAGGGGACGGGGCTCAGTTTGGCCGGCAGGGTGGGGTAAGGCGAAGGGACGTAAGGAGGCGGGGTTTGGTTGAGCGAGGTGGAGTTGTTGCGGTTGGTGTTGAGGTTCTCCAGAGGGGTGGAGGGCAGGAGAACGGAGGAGGGGGTGGAGTATGCCGAGGGAGGAGGGCGAGGGGAGGGGGATGGTGGGTTTTCAGGGAGGGCCGAGGTGCTGGAACCGCCCGGCTTTCCTGGAGCAGGTTTACGCTTCGGCTTGGGGAGGGTGCCGGTGGTGCCGTTGGGCGACGAGACCCCACCCATGGCCCTCTCCTCACCCCCCTTCTCCTGGTCCTCGGCTGCGGCTGTCGGGCTCCTGGCCGCCCAGGACTGGCTGAGGACCGATGTTGCGGTGGAGCAGTCGGGCAGGGAGGAGTCGGACGACTGAGTTATGGTATCCTTGGCCCCCCTTTTCTTTGAGCCTCCAGAGAGGTCGTCCAACCCGATGGAGCCGTGTTTGGAGGAGCTGGGGGTGATGGTGCATCCCTGAGACTGCTGCCCGTTAGTCTGCGAGTGAACGTTGGTCATCGACAAGGAGACGCCTTTACCGCCCTCACCGGGGTTACACACCTGAGGAAAGCAATGAGGTGTTCATCATTTTTGTTTCATTCCGAAATAGGGACATATCAAGTTTTACGTATAGTTAAACACATTTTAGTTTGTTATTACATGAATGAAATAAGCAGCGGGAGTTCTAGACCAACTCTACTCGGGGTTCCATGCTGGGGCCAGGTATTTTACGAGAGGGGCATTTAATGCACGACAAACGGGACACAGACAGCGTTCAACTATCATTCAAGAACATTTCTGGTTCAGTATAATGTCACAATATCAAGTCACTAGTCATGAGTAAAAAAGAATAATAAAATGATTGTTGTCAGAAACTTGACAATTTAATTAGATGACATAATCGTAAAACAAAATACATTACTGTTGACTTGGCTCATGTCAGAGCAATCTTTGCTGCAACACTATCACAAATAGTATTATCATATACTTTTTATTTCGGAGGGGGGCCACAGGGGGGAGTCAAAGCTCATTGTTACACTGGCCCCTGTTGCCCCCCCCCCAGAACCGCTAATGTAAACAAGCAGGAAATGTCCTAGTAGGCATTTTTCTAAACATACAAGCTGCAAAAACTTTAATGTCTAAATTCTGCAGGATGAAATAGCAATGGAAGCTAAATCTTGGGTCAGTTTTATAACCTATTACTATATTTTATTTCTATCAATTTGAATTTCAGGGGTTAGGGGGGCTTCCACAAAAAGTCAATAATACACGATAAATAAGTATAGAAACATACGTAGCGAGTATTCCACGGTAGTTATCTTATCTCAAAGAGAAGTGATCTGCTTGCTAATAAGCAGCAGACCAGGCCGGGACAGCAGGCCACCATGTGACAACGCCACTCGCTCCTGTAATGAAAATCTCTCTCCTCTCATTCTCTGTCCTTTCTGAGCAGAGGGGATTAACAGAGACAGACAGAGACCCACCTTGTAGCGTATCATCAGGATGATGATGAAGACGAGCACCGAGGCTACGATTATCCCTCCGATGATGATGATCATGGTGCCGCCGAGGAACTGAGACTGCATGAAATGACACCTCATGTACTCCGACTCGGTGGAGAACTGAACGCAGCCCACCACGCGCGTCGCCGTCAGGGAGGTGATGATGTCATCATAGATGGCCAGCACGCAGAGGTCGTACTGCGTCCCCGCCGCCAGGTTGTTAACCAGGAAGTTCTTGCTGGATGGGGGGATCATTCTGTGGTAAAACAGAGCGACGGGGAGGGAGGGGGAGACAGGAAATAAAGACGTTTTAATGATTGTCTTTTTTCCATTATTTACCAATTCCTGCATACATCGTTAGACAATGTGGACGTTAAAACAAACACAATAGAGTCATTCATTAACACAACTTTCAAAATGACAGGGATAAGTAGGAGGAGATGGCATGTAAGAAAAGTATTGTTTGTTGTACGACTGATATCTTGTGTTTTAGATTTGTCCCTACTTTCTCAGTTTTGTAGTATTGTTTGATTGGGAATTCTTAAGGCCACAAGTAGTGCTATAATAGTTTGTGATGAATATTTGTTTAGAACATCTACACGGTCAGCATATGGACGGGGAATATGGAGTTCTACATCCAAGGAATAGGGATTATGTTTGATTGCATCTTTTTATAAACAGCGGCAGACACAAACGTTGAGTCTTAGAGAGGATCAACAGCCCTTTGAGGAAGAACAATGTACACATCACATTACGGAGATGAATCCACTGGTAAGTTAATGTTTGGATTACCACTTGGACCAATCATGTTATTCCAATATGTTTATGTATACGTATGTCATCTATAAGTATCTATAACGTTTTATGTTGATGTTCCTCAACCAAAAACGTTGACATAAGGCTTTCAAGTGGTACTAGCGTAAAGAACGAGCAGTTGTGTGAGTAAGCTCTGGAACATTTTCAAGGCTTATATAATGTCCAAAGAAACTTAAAATACCAGAAAAGAGACAATGTAGTTACATTACATTATAAGTTGATATGTTGAACTTGTTAGCAAACAGTTGCTTATTCAAACAGCCAGCTAAAATATGTAGTAATATTAGCATTATTATTTAATTTGTGTTCGGTCCTCCTGATAAATATACTGTAGGTCCAATATTCTTTCTCCATTTAGCTCTGCTTTGGTCTCCACCAACACCTTAGGCAAGTCTGGCTCCTTAACTTCTATTGTTCCAGTGCTACCATCACATTTTTCTGACTTGTGTTTTGTTCTGAGAAGGTGGCATAGGCATACGGTTTTTTTTTTGGAACTTGAAGTTAGAATAAAGTGAAGTTGCAGGCTCAAAAACAACGCTAAAAAATCCAAGTAGGGTTATAATGCCTTTGTCACTTCTAATGTCGCTTGCACTAACCTGCTTAAAAAAACTTTTTACTTTGTATAGATACATTATTGTGTAACGGTACGAGTACAGGCAGGACAACATTCTTTAGCATGTGATGATAGCAAACTCAAATGCAACCTCCATAATGCATTTACCTTCTGCTTTGTTACTAAAGTTCTAAAACTATTATATATACAGTATATGATGTTATTATATCTTTATAAATAAAATACTTGAAAGGGAATTAAGAATGCTAATTGTAAAGAATGAATGCACTCAGCTCTCCTGTGTGCAGCTAGGTACTGAATCCTCAAAAACTAAAAAGTTATCAGTGGAACAGGACACTTAAGATGATTTATTATTGCACGGATCAGAAGAGATGACCTTCCTTTCCCAAATCTTTCTTGCTAAGGTTTCACAATAAAACATACCGGGGTAATAGTTTTCAGCTTACATTGAAAAAAAAACAGATATTCTCGTCGACACTTCCGAAGGTACTTTGCCACTTTGACTGAAGTTGGTAATTCTTCACTGGACACATTGACTAGAGGATTTGCACATTTGTCCTTCAGTTTCGCTTAAAGGCCGTGTCAGCTTTCCTGGGTTTGCTCATTAAAATGCTAATGATATTCCTCGGTCAAAGCAACAAGGGTGGCTAGTTCACAGCTCGCGGCCTTGTGTGCACCGAGAGGAGCAGAGTGCTGTTTCGGCCAGGTGAAGCATCTGGGTTTAAGCTGGAGTTAAGTGAAGGTTAGGAGATATGGTGAGCTTTAATGGTTAGCATTAAGAGCTAGGGAATACATGTGGCGGTAGGTCATTAGTGAGCCCTCTGGAATAACAGCACAAGGCTGTAGAGTGTGTGTGTGTGTGTGTGTGTGTGTGTGTGTGTGTGTGTGTGTGTGTGTGTGTGTGTGTGTGTGTGTGTGTGTGTGTGTGTGTGTGTGTGTGTGTAAGCATCTATATGACCCTATGAATACTAATCGGACCATCTGAACGCCGGCTGACCATGAGTGTCCTCCTCTTTGCTCCTCTTGATGTTGTCATCACTAGGGTGGTGAGCACACTCACAATGCCATTATTTCTGTGTTGGGACACAGAAAGTGACATTGAAGTGTGCAGGTTAATGATTGGAGCGAAAGTCGCTGGCTACTACAAGCTCTGATACAAGCAGCTACATTTGTATACACATACATACACTGACAGAGATTCATTTCCCTATTATTGCCGTGGCCTTGGGCGTCATTTGTGTGTTTGGATGTGTGTGTGGTTGTGTGTTACATTAGCCAGCAAAGCATTTATATCTGTGAAATAATGTGTTTGTTTTTCATGCCTCGGCTTTCATCATCTTTTTTTCTTGCAGGCTTTAACGCCGTCACGTTCTAACACAGATACCGATGTTAAGCACCTCATCAATACTGTATGTCTCTAGGATATAAAAGAGGAAGATACAGTTGATATTTTGACATACTGTATTGGAGAGAGACTTATGCCACTACTGTATAAACAAGTGGATTTTCTTTTGGTTTTGGTTCATATTCATTTGTATCATTATCCTCAGTTAAATTAAAGTTTGACTTCAAAACTAAATGGCAACCTCCGGGTCTGAGAAATGAAGCCAACGTGGTAGTGTATTTAACCATTTGTTCTAAGGCCAGCAGCAGGCGACTCCACTGGTTGGAAACATAAGTCTAGTTGTGTAGAAGTCTACAAGAAAATGACCTTACTTGATTAATTGCCTCAGTAAATATTTTTCAATTGAATGACTGATCTCAATTCATAAATTCAAGCTTTCTTTTGTACAGAAAGATGTTCATTCATAGATAGAATAGGAGGGATGGGGGTGTTGTTTGGTGCCTTGCTCAAGGGCACCACGGCAGGGCCCAGGAGGTGAACTGGGACCTCTCCAAGTAGCAGTCCACACTCCATATTTTAGGTCTGGTCGGGGACTTGAATAGGCGACCCTACGGCTCACGGTCCGAGCCACTACTGACTGAGCCACTGCCGGACGTAAACTATAGTAACACAATTATATATTATGGTTAATGTTATAAACAAGAATAATAAGTATATAGAGAGGCTTAATGCTGTTTACAGGTTTATGTGTATAGAAAGTTGAATCATATTTATTATGTTTAAGGCAGCTGTCAAAAAGTGGCTGGGTTGTCTTTGTGGATAGACAGTCACTTCAAGACTCCCTTCACTTCAGATGTGCTCCTAACTTATATAGGAATATCAGGGGAAATGCCATGTCTTCAATATATTTGCCATAATTAACAACAATTGTCATGTTTAGGATTATGTTTTTTTATCCATGGACAATTTTAATTGGTTTACAAGGAAATTCGATTTTTCTTTAGTGAAATCAGCAAAAGATAATATATTTTAGATCAATCTTACGTCATCTGTATTAAAGTGAAGCTAGACAATTGTGATTTAAAACAGTAAGAGGGCAAGTTACAAAACAAAACTGTTTAATTTCAATAACAGTGCCGCAATTATGCACCTTGCTCTATTGATTGTTTGCTACTTTGTCATGTATCTGCAGACATGAAAAAAATTCTTAGAAACCTTCGCTGCTAACAAACCATTAGCTACATGACTCCATCTGGACACATCCCAACTAGTTTCTAAACAACATCCATCCAACCAGACGCTCCGGCCAATGACGCTCACATTGCACAGTTGGTTTTCATAGTGAGCGTGTAAGCTGAGCTGTCGTCATTTATAATTCATTCATGCAAGGAACAATAGATATATTGATAATGTGTGTTTGGACCCTGTTTTGCTGAGTTCACAAATGCATTTAAATGCAAATCACAGTTTTTTTTTGTCTTGCATACGATTATGTCTTGACTGTGTGCGAGCCGTCAGCATTGTGAACCCATCCAAACTGACTCATTCATTGTGGCTAATTTCTTTGTGTGAGAGCTGGATCTTGCTGCCAGTGTCTGAAGCCCTACAGTGGGCAGATGATTGCCTTGGCCGCGACTATTACACTAATCTATCTACTCTGCTCTGCCAAGCCCTCAGCCCAGGGCGCCTCTGAGTGTGTTAGTGTGTATGTGGTTCCGGGTTTCATTACGCTTTCATTACAAGAGAGAAAGTGTTCGTGGTCCTCTATGAGTATGCATTTGTGTATTTATGTCTATATGTCTGCAGTATGTTCATATATGTGTGTGTGTGTCTGCAGTATGTACATATATGTGTGTATGAGAGTTCCATTACAGTAATCTTTTCCTCCCATGACTTCCTCTTCCCAGTGGCTGTCACTGTGTCTGGCTCTCTGCCAGCGCTCACCACAGATACAGCAATGCACGCTGGTAAATCCTACCGCGAATGAGCGTGCACGGATGTGAGCGTGCACGTTAATCAACTTAACCTCACTCCAGCCAGAGACAAAGCCAGGAGGACAATGCGATCTCCATTAGCCGCTCTCATCTTTTTGACTCCAGACAAATGATTGCCGCCGCACACGGAACAGTGAACTATGATACCAGATTGTTCTATTTTCAGTCCATTTCACTTGATTAAATACTGGACAAAGGCTGCAGGCCACAAACACGCATTATTCCAGGAGAAGGAAGGGAGAAGAAAAGGCATCCAAAGCTCTGAATCAACACACATGCTTCCAGGTCGGGCTGGAGCCGTGTGATAAGACAGGGGGGGGGGGGAATAACTGGGCTCCCAGGGAACCAGAGCCCCGCAGGACGACATGTGACAGCCATGTTTTTCAATGATATTCAGCGACATGGGCTAGCTCATTAGTGGTTTCATGTAGCTGTGGGGGTATATTGTTTTGTGTGGTTTGGAAGCTGTCCAGTTTTGAGTTTTTTTTGAGTTTTCTGACACTGCCTAGTCATTAGCAGCGCTCATC